ATTATGTATACTGGATTGTCTAGTCCTTAGCAGTAGGGATGTATACTGGCTTGTCTAGTCCTTAGCAGTAGGGATGTATGCTGGCTTGTCTAGTCCTTAGCAGTAGGGATGTATACTGGCTTGTCTAGTCCTTAGCAGTAGGGATGTATACTGGCTTGTCTAGTCCTTAGCAGTAGGGATGTATACTGGCTTAATTTGTAAACAGCGTCAGTGTCATTTTGACTAAATTTTGGATATATGTTGGGAATTGAACAGAAAAATGCCCACACCAAATATTTTGCAGAAACTGCAGATTCTGATTATTTTAATGTGACAAAACATTATGATGAACAAATAGGAAAAAATAGTGATGGTCTATGACCTAAGAGGCTGATTCCCAAATTCCCGAAAGTAAAGTCTGGACCATCTTTCTTGACAGAAAGTGATATCTATATGTAAATTATGCTGGTTTATTGAACTTTTATTCAGTAATGTTGACAAATCTGTGAAAATATGGCATCTTTTGGCATTGAGAGCAATTTGAACCCTGTTTCAGATTTTTTTATAAATATGGTGCACCACTTTTTGTTTTGTGATAATTCCAACACACTTGTCTGCAAAATAATTAACGTTGACAATGGTGGATGATCAGAATATGGAAAAAAAAGAAGAAAAGAACAGAATGGAAATTTCAGGACTGATGTACAACAAATTAGACAATTTAAAAAAAAAATTTGTCACCTTGAAAAGTTTATGATCTAGTATATTTGTGGTCTGGTCTCTCAATTAAAAGCTGATCTTGGTAGTTTTTTTATTTGTTGTAACTGTCATGAAACTGTAAGGCTCTTTGATATACTTGTCCCTTACTGCAGTAATCATGCTTCTTGTTTAGTTCTCTCCAGGTATTGTGCTCATTCGGCTTTTCTTTAAAATCTAATCAATGATAAAATGAACGAAAAGGAAAACTTCGCTAAACATTTTATTTCAGTGTAATATTTCAAGGAATAAGAAAGTAAATCTAGTTTAAAATTTTCATAACATGTAATATGACCTGGTGTTACACATGAGTAATGGTACCTCATGTATTTGTGAAATTTGTCTAATTAGTGTTTTTGTTATATTTTACGTGCATTGTATTACAGATAAGATATACAAATATTTAAGATAACTTTTGAAAGTGAATCTTCTTTCTAGATATTTGAAAAAAATAATTTATTTTCAGTGTAATAGTTGATATTTAAGGGCATTTACAAGAATTTCCAAAAATAAACGAATTTCATAATTTCTGATAATTTGTCATTGAGAATCTAAAACAAGATTTATTTTAACATGAGGGTAGTGTTATTAATACTGTCAGAACTATCGTGTTTGTGACTTTGGTAAAGGTAAAAATGTTTTTAATTACAATTTATCGGAACAATCTCAACCTTATCTTTTCCATAACGACATGTTAAAGGTAAAATAGAGTTCCAAGTGAACAACTCAAAAGTAGTTAAGCAACTCAACTTCTGACTGAAAATGAAGTAAAAGAAAATCTCGATTTATCTGTTAAGTTTGTGTTTATTTATTCTTCAATCATTTATTTGTTCAAAAGTACTACAGTTATGTTGGTCATAATTCAGACAGCTACACTATTTACAAACTTTGAGGGAAGGGGTCAAAGTTAATATTCCCAATTAGAAATAAAAAAACATTTTGCACACGGTCTAGTTGAAAAAATGCATACAACGTTCACAACTGACTTTGAAACCGGAATGCTGTTAATTTCAGATCACTTTTAGCATTTTCTACAACGATATCAGCCCTCAAAGTTTGACACTCATAAGTCTCAGATGAAGTGTTGCAAAACTGTCTTTGAGTGTATAAAAGAATTGGCCGATAGCATAACTTCGGATTTTTATCCTACGTTAAAAGTCATGTGCATAAAATTTCAAAGTAAGAAAAGAAATGTCATATTAAAGTGACAGTACATACACACTGCTTTGTTGCATAAATAATCGACGTTAAATCTATATACATTAATAACCAATGTAAGGCGTGTTTAAAGAATATTTTTTTTCGTATCCCTTCTTTGACATTAAATTGCCATAGGTTGTCGTTTATGCTGTGCGGAGACAATAAAAAGTGTCCATGTATGCTCTTATAGGTTTACCGTCATTGCTTATTCATTTTTGAGATAGCTTCCCGTAGGCATACTACTACACTTTAATCTTTCGGTTGGTATGTTTATTGAAATTGGTGTGCAGTCCCTCCAAATGATAAGCTTTATGTATACATTATTTCCGCCAATATTATCTTAAAAATATGTTGATGTACCCGGTGATGTTAAAATGTTTGTTTGTGTTTTTATGTAATATTTTTCGTTTTTCTTTTGCCATACGGTTGTCATTTTCTCTTCAACTTATGAATGTCCCCTTAGTATCTTCCCTTAGTATCTTAAGCCCTCTTGTTTTAAATGCATAACAGCAATAGAAGTACGGTTTGCTTTAAGTTTGGTTATGCCAAGTACGGATATGATTTATGCTGCCATGGACTGATTCAAAAAAATTTGAGTGGCCTACAAGCATGGAATCGGTTTGAACTATTAAAACAACTTACAATGATGCATGTTAGTACCAAGCAGGGATGTGGTCGATTACTTTAAAATGTAATTGATCAAATTGCAATTACTTTGGGTATTTAATGTAATCGATTACATTTCAATAACACATACATTCAATTGTAATCGATTGCATTAGAATATTTTTCTTTACAGTAATCATGATTACTTTGGATTACTAGTACTAATGTTCATATTGTATACTGTGATATTAAAGAAATTTTTATAATTAACAAAAAAAATAAAACATAAAAGACCTGAACAAATAATGAAAAATTAATTAAGTAGTTTTAATGTCTCCGGGGATATAATTGACACATACATATGTTTTACAGGTGTAAATCACTACATCATGTTTTAGACAAATAATAGGTGACTTTGAGAATAAAAAAATAATTATCTTAATTGCAATATCAATAAAGTTATAAGTAGTTTATTTTCATTTTGGATACTTGATATACAATGTAGTCAGGAAGCTTAAAATATTTATGGAAAACACAATATTTACAAATTGTAAAAAAAAAACGAAATAATTTGGTTCTAATCTCCATTATTATTTAATTGGGCTCATTTATGTCGATCATCAAAGTCAAAATTGGAATTAAATCCCCAAATCAATGTTCTATGTTATCGAATTTCCTTGTAGTTATAACAAAATATAGTGTAAAACTAAAATTTAGTTCATATCAGCATTGACCATCAGGAAACATAAAATGATTTCAAAGCATATTATTGTATCAGAAGGACTCAATCTCACAATGTAACATTTGGAAAGGAAAATTCATTTAGTGAACTGTTAACAAAATAAATCACAAATTTTCATACTATATGCCCAACTTGGTTATACTAAACTTTATAGAAGATATGATCAATCATAGTGAATGCTAGTTTGATATTTTGTCATATACACAATTTGTAATCAACAAGTAATCGTATGAATGTGATCTAAAAGTAATCTAAAAATAATCATGATTACACCTGTTTTTTTTTTACATTGTAATCGATTTGATTACGAATACTTGTAATCCGAAATAACAAGATTACTGATTACATTTTATAATATTGCAAAATGTAATCGATTACAGCTGATTACGATTATTGATTACGATTACCCAATGCCTGGTACCAATTAGCAAAAAACTATTATAAGTATTTGTGTAAAAAACATTTACACACAACATTTCATATTCCAACAGACAAAGTCTCAAACTCTCATTGTTTAATATGCAAAAATCATTATTTGGAATGTCTAACTAAAGAACTTGAGTTTTACAGCAAATCTGGGAATTCAACATTTACCCCTACATCATTTTCGAAAGAGGAGATTTTAGAAAATCTCAAATCGGTCATTCTCTCCTTTGGTATTGACATACAGAGGGCGATGAAAATCTCGTCTTTATAGTGGATACCGAAAGTGCTCAAAAATCAAGATGTCCCACTATAGAACTATTGAACGTTCTAACTACCTTTTTTTCTACAGTAAAAGTAAGCGCTCAGGAATATGTTACTGAAGTATATCAAACAAGTGTTGCCAATCAAATTCTGTTTTTTTAGATCATGAAAAAATTATATACTTTGTGAAGAGCCAGACCGATGATTAACTTATCAAATAACTTTTCAAATTAACAGGGTTGTGCATCTGAAACAAAATCGGTTCCAACAAATTTACGGTAAAGACTGAAAACGACACTACATGGTTTAAGGTCATCATCACGAATTGATCGATATATTATGTCTGTGTCTCAAATGATTAACGACACGCTTTAGCGGTCTTGGAATTTAAATACCAAAATAGTTGTCTGACCTGTAGATAAAGCAGTTATGTCTTATTGCCGTATGTGACATTTTATCTAAGAGTTTTGTAACCTTGATTTGTATCTTCTTAGAGCATCGGTAAACTACTGTTGCCTTTAATCCACATATTTATACATTTGCGTCTTTTTTGCATGTTTTATTACTTCATTCAAGAATTTATATTATCCTACATAGAAAACAAATCTTGAAATATTAAATCTATTGGAAGGAGCAAGAGCCCTACAATAATCAATAAAGTAAAATGTCCTAAAGACAATAGTTGCTGTGATTGTTAGTTTTTTTCAGTGTTTGGTATGTATAGTTATCAAATACAAAAAGAAACAGTACACGGTATACCTTTATACGACTGAAGGCTTTGTATAGCAATTGAAATTTTTTCTCCAAAATAGAAACGTAATACACTGAAGTTGGTTGCAAGATAATACTAAACTCTACATAAACTTTCGTTTATAGGTTGACTGCCTCAAACCATTCAAACTTGTAACAGATGATGAGAAATACTCATATTAATCATGTTATATGTTTCTGCGAATTAAACAAACAGCTTTAGGACCCTTGAAAATCTTACTGAAGATGTTTCATGGGTGTCACATGGTTTTAGGTTATCCACGTTACTAGTGGGCGTCAAAGGAATGAATCTACAGTTATAATGTCTTCTTCGTCATTCTGAAAGTTACAGCGCTAAGGTAAAGGTAAGACATATATTTTCTCTTTAATTTTGACAATCTGTTTTATACATCTTTTATATTATGCGTCTACTTATTCTATTAGTTTTGCTCCTTGTTCTTTGCGTTTTGTTATTGTTATACCGTTCCCAATGAAGGATTAAAAATAACATTTCAGCGAAAGTTCTATTTTAGTTCAGTTGGAACATATTTCATTTGCTCAGATACCAATCACGAATTGAATGACCGTTATGGAATATTTGTTTCATAGATGACGACCGACCGTATAAGACTTATCGACCGGTTTGTACTTACATAGCAACACGACGGGTACCACTAATTGAGCAGGATATGCGTACCCTTTCGGAGCATTTGATATCACCCACGGTTTTTGGTGGGTTTCGTGTTTCTCAGTCTTTAGATGTCTATTTTGTGTTTTGATTACTGTTTGTCATTTGATATTTTTTCATTTTTTGACATGGCATTGTCAGTTTGTTTTCGACTTTCGCCTCTTTTTTAATGATACTTCTATATTTGATAAGTTGAATAATGAATCAATTTTTCAATGGCAAGTTTAATAGTTCTAAAACAAATGGACAGTCATTTTGGATACAGCTAAGTTTTTCTATGAGCTTATTTATAATGTCGGATTAAAATTATGTATTAAAAAAGAAATGAAGCGAATCTTTACGATTAACACCGCAGCGGCAAGACGGATCAGAAATGATATTGACTCTATAGAGATCATGATTTAAGAGAGAAGTAGAACATCGAAGTTGGGTAAAAGGAATATGTAGCTTGCGAATTCAAAAGCACATTAGGTTAAGTATTGGTGCATACGTTTCTTGGTTTGGATTTAAATTTACCAAAAAGTAAAATCACAAACATACTGAACTCCGAGGAAAATTTAAAAAGGAAAGTCCCTAATCAAATGGTAAAATCAAAAGCTCAAAAACATCAAACGAATGAATAACAACTGTCATATTCCTGACTTGGTAAAGTCAAATATATTTACAACACGGTTTGAAGCATCAGCAGTTATTGTTTTATATTTGAAACCATTTGTCAAAATACAAATCTGAATGTTATTAATCTCAATGACGCTTTAGGCTCGACTGAGCCATCATAAATACAATGTGCAGATCCTCACTTTTATTGAATTAATTGGGCTAAATCCAATGTTTATTATACGATAAGTGCGTTGAAGGTGAAGCGTATTGGACTTAAAAGAGAGGAGAAAGATACCAAAGGGACAAGAAAAAGACAAAAAGACAAACAACAGTACACAAAACACAACATAAAAAATTAGAGACTGAGAAAGAAAGTTTAAGAATCAGCCCGGAACCACGATTTGGTAGCATGTAGAATTTGGAATACAGTGAAGGGAATATTACAGGAATAAAGAGTGTAACATTTTTTTTATATCTGTCTTCACATTCGCTTGTTCATTAACTCATCAGAAGTGACAAAATTATCCACATCAATATATTTTCAAAAACAGCAATTACTATTGATGAGATTCAAAAGTTTAGATAAGCACAAAGCACGTCACTTGTTTACCTACATATTAGTGATGATCACCTTATTAGTTTGATCAGAGGACGCATAATGAGCGTGGACAAAAACGTACAATAAAAAACCCAACCTAAACAAGCACTTATTATATCCATAAGGCAAGATAGGGAAAGACATATTATTAAAGCAATTTAGATTTCTTTTCGTTGAGACTTGGGGTTTTTCCCTGCCTTATAGTTATACTATTTCTATGTTCAAAACTGGTTAGTGAGATTAGTTGTATAACGGGTTCTTGTATGGGATATAAATATATTTGCACGTGAAATACTTTGGCGGTTTAAAGTTAGAGGTTCCGTTATATTATGTAAAGAAATTTTTTGGTTGTCACTTCCTTGAAAGGTGCTTGCCGTTTATTGTTGCATATTAATGTATGATAACAATATCAAGTTTGATTTCAGTCCATTTAAATGTATTTTGTATTTTGAATATTGTTGTTATAATATATTGGTTTATAATGTTATTAAACATTGTTTGCTAGAAAAGAGAAAAGTTACTGCGAGCAACTAAACCTATACCTAGAGTTTTGTTTTATTAATTATACCAAGGATTTTAGTAAAGAAATGTTTTAAATTCGGACGAGCATGGCAAGGGAGAATTTAAGTGATATTAACGTGTAAAATAATGCTGACAGGTAACGAAATCAGTCGTAAAGTGCACTCCTTGCACTAGGCACACATTGCAATCCTTGCCTTGTAGTTGTTGATAATATTGTGTTAAACCTAAATAACAAACAGAATCATCCAAGGGACAATTTTTAAGTTGTCAGCTTTGATTACAACATAACTATATACAACTGAGGGGAAATATTGGTTCATAAGGAATCATACATTTGCAATCCCATAATCAATGTCTATTTTAACTGAAAAAAGTACGTAAAGTTATTGTACCGATTTAAAAGTTTTTTTTGTAGAAATAAAAGCAACACTTTCAATTAAATCAACGGCACTTCTGCAAAAAACCATCTAACTACATAAAAGGAAGGAACATCATTGAACAAAACTTCTTAAAAAGGGAAAAGAAAAGTCCCCTTGTTTGTCATATGGATGAGTACGGGTATAAAGAATATTGAGGTATATTTTATGGGAAAAAAAATAAACGGCAGTCACTGTAACAATGAATTTATTAAAAGGATCTTTAAATTGGTAAACCTCACTTGGTTATTATTACAACTGGAACATCGGGACTCTTTACAAAACATATCCCATAGGTCTTCGTATTTCTATCTTTATAGTCGTCATTTTTGCTATATGTTCAAAGAAAACAACAAAACTAAATTTATTTACAAAGAAAAAATGCAGTATTTGCTTGGACAAACGGTGACACTGGTTCTTTTAACACTGTTATCCGATGAAAAGTTAGCGTACACATGTATTGAAACACGTCAAAACCTGTCTTAAAAGGGAGACAACTGGTATTATTTCTTATGGAAAATTATGTTCTTAAAGTCCAATCAGTGGTGTACGGGAGGCATTGATATCCATTTATATGTAAAGCATAGGATTTATAGACAAAAGTTTGTCGCACGGAAACACACAAAAAAAAAAAAATAAATAAAAAACAATTAACATTCTTAATCCCATATTTTTACATATTTTATGTTTGTCATGACCATATAGGCTAACATGTTTAAGTTAATGACCGTGTATGTACGAAATTGGAGAATACTTTAATGCGTCATGTAAATGTAAGCTAATTTGGTAAATTCAAGATGCAAATCAAACCATTAAAATAAAATAGATAAATAAAATTCTAAATTCAAGTTAAAACTAAAATGAAATGAAATTTTGAAATAATGGGGTGCTGAATTGAACCCTGGCAACAGATGTCAATCAACATGAGAAACTACGTTTGAGGTGTAAATGAAGATTACATGAATTAATGTTCTAAATTAAACAATAATATAGTAATACATCAAGTTCATCAGTACTGGTGCAGCCTATAATGTTCTCCCTAGTAATGAACTCTTCTAAAAGACTGTCATAACATTATTTATCGGAACACTATGACTGTTAATCCGTTATCACTCGTCCGATGGACGTCGTACTGTGGTAAATTGTGTTTATAGACTGGCGAAAAGTTGTAAATCCAGAAGCCGTGACAGGAGTTCTATAATGAGGTTAGGGACACAGAAATCTGGAAAATAAAACATAAAACAGCAGTATCGATAAACTAAAAGAGGAGGGATGGATGTGTTTACATTATTTATGCATACAATAAACTCAACAATCTGACCTTAGATATATTCAGTTACTTCCTAGCAGATCATGCATTCAGAATATTATGAGGAGTGCTATAGCTGTTAAAATTGATATGCCGTGTAATCGAATTAAGACATGCGCGTTACATTGACATGTGTATGAACTGTCGCAAGTCTTGCTTTCCTCTGATAAACGATTTAACGGTCAAGTCCTGTAAATCGAATTATTTTATAAGTAATTTTGTCACAACTCTTTATCCGTAGTCAAAAATAGTGATTGACCAACCAGTGCCGAGAAAGCATAATGGTAACAAATAAATTCTGAAATATAGTTTTTCCCCTTTTGCCGCCACCAAGCGATAACTGCAAAGGCTTCACATAATTCTGATGCATAAGATTTCGTTCAATGTCAGCACAGTGTTGTTTATTATTAAATTTTATGTTTTGAGTAGATCGGACTTAATGTAAACACCCTTCTACTTTAAGTAAACGGGATAAAAATAAATCCTTCTCCAAATACATGTCGAACAACGTCGAAATACAGATCAAAATGAGAATACAAATATATGATAATAAACAATAAAAAAAAAAAATAACCTACCCTTAATTCTATTTATTTTGGTCGTAAAGAAATGAAGTTATTGATGATTATCTTCTTTTCAGGAACAAAATGTATGCACAATATTTTCTTTGGGCACTGTTAGGCTTATGCTTTATGAATGGAGTGCTGACAGCTATAGTACCGGGCCTGGATGCTGCACGTATGAATGCTCTAATGAGCCCACCTGGACAAGGTATTTTCATTGTGTCTTATAAGCGTGCCAGCAATATTTGCACTTCTTAAATTATCATGTTTAATTATATGAATATTGATTTACATTGAGATATCTCCTTCTGGAAAATAGCATTTTTTTTCAATGTCTAGTTCCGTAAACGTGTGACTAGATATTTAAAATAGTCTTTCCTGTGTTGTAACTAAATTGAAGATTATTTGACTGCTATTTCAACTGCCTTATTGTGGCGTATGAAATATATTGCATATACATTCTCGGTCCCTTTCATCTCTCACTAAATAATACAAAATTTGGTGACTATGTTGAACGAATATACCCAATCGAACTAGAGATAAAGGATACTACAGTTACAGTTAAGTCTGCCTCATATTTTGACTTACATCTAGAAATTGACAATGAGGGTCGGTTGAAAACAAAACTTTACGACAAAAGAGATGATTTCAGCTTCCCAATTGTGAACTTTCCATTTCTATGTAGCAACATTCCAGCAGCGGCTGCATACGGAGTATATATCTCCCAATTGATACGATATTCCCGGGCTTGTATTTCCTATCATGATTTCCTTGATAGAGGATTGCTGCTCACAAGGAAGCTATTAAACCAAGAGTTCCAAATGGTGAAGTTGAAATCATCCCTTCGTAAATTTTACGGACGCCATCACGAGTTGGTTGACCGTTATGGAATAACCGTTTCACAGATGATATCGGATATGTTCCTTATGTCGTAACTACAATACCCTTCCCTTTTCACGAATGTGACTTACCGAATTAGACTATTTACCGGATTTGTAATAACATAAGCAACACGACGGGTGCCACATGTGGAGCAGGATCTGCTTACCCTTCCGGAGCACCTGAGATGACCCCCAGTTTTTGGTGGGGTTCGTGTTGATTAGTCTTTAGTTTTCTATGTTGTGTCATCTGTACTATTATTTGTCTGTTTGTCTTTTTATTTTTGGCCATGGCGTTGTCAGTTTGTTTTCGATCTATGAGTTTGACTGTCCCTCTGGTATCTTTCGTCCCTCTTTCATAAACACTTACGCGCATTTATGCACATGTCGTGACGACATTTGATGCCTATACATGTTGTATGCACTTGTTTATACAGTTCCATCCATGCACAAAATGTCATTTTACAAAACTATAAGAAAATTGTCCAAAATGTAGTAGTTGTGTAACCTTTCTGCCTAAATTGATATAAAGTCACTGACTGATAAATATCAGTTATCGCTATTTGATTATTTTGTGATAATCTTGCATATCATCCTACTCGACATTGCAACCGAGAAATACTCTCTCGTTTAAAAAGCTATCCATAATCTATAATTATGAAAGGAGGAGACGATAATGAGATATGAAATTATACAAATCGAACTTTTATAAATGAAATAAGTTGATAAGTAGGACAAGATATCCAGTAGCAAACAAGATAAATTACAGCAGTTACTATAATTTTACATTTTCAGGTAACCCTTTAGCAGCAAAAGATACCATTGGTCAATTCCCAGGACTAAGTAGTATGTTAAATGCATTATGTTTCCCGTCTTTTATTACTTTAGGTCATATTTCAGGCCATTGTATCCATTAACAATTTGTGAATGTTTCACAACATTTATTGGGTTATATGTAAGATGACAAAACTTTGCCACATTCAATACAGTAAATTTTTTTTTAAATAAGCCATTAGCTAAAATTTTCTGACTATTTAAAGTTTTAAAAAAATAGTTCGGGAACTATTACATTGCAACACTTATTTTTAGTTTCCTTGACTAAAATTCTACAAAGTGGTTTATACAATTACATGTATTTAATTTGTATTTGATTATCTCCAGCACTGAAATGTACCAATGAGAACCTTGAATCTTTGGCCAAAAATGCAAGTGTACACATATTATTGAAACAACTGATGAATATACCTTTAACTTATATCAAATTTAACACAAAATTCTTCAATAAAACGAATTCTATTAAAAATCGTATGAATAATCATCAATGTTCGATTGAAATGTATGATTTGACCCGAAAACAATTTTTAAAACACAACTTTACAAACCGTAATTTCTTGAAAACAGAAATGTTGGTACCTAACCTAAAATTTTACATTCTGTAAAATGATTAATTATTGTTAAACATGATTTATTTATACATTGCAATTATATTACAAACATTTTCATTTAACATAAAACATCCTTTAATTCTATTGACAGAGGTGCGTTTTTATCGGCAGTCAGGAAAACATTATATCTAAGACAAGTCTTTCAAAAAAAAAATTTTATTCATACCATTTCAATCTAAAAAATGCAAAATAATAGTAAAACGTACATTTACATATTCTTTTTATTTTTAGATACTGTCTACTCTAGTTCAAGCTTTCCAGGCCAAATGTCACCAGGTATATAATCATTTTCAGATACAAATTTCCTAGAATCTTGAATCTGACTGCAATTATAATTTACGCCATGATGCCATTAAATGTAAATGGGTATCCTGCATTTATTATGATTTACCATTAAATAATGTTAAATTGCTGATTCCCTAAATTATTGAAATAAATCAATTTGCATTTACCATAATATCATGGTGCAAATAAGATTAATCCAAACCGAATCGTGCTCACGCCCTCATGGGTGTATATTATACTTGGAACTAGTTACTTCTCTTACTAGGAGAACAGTTTCAAAGATTAGCTGCTCTCCTAATTGATTTGCTCGGAACTATCGGTTTAATATGCATTTCAAAAAGAGAGGCGAAATACATCAAAAGTGAATTCAAACTCATAAGTCGAAAACAAACTGACAACGCCATGGTAAAAAACGAAAAACGATCAACAGACAAACCATAGACTTGGAGTGCTTTTCTTTCTAACACAAACGATGCAAACGGCTAAGCGCGCACATGTTTTGATCATTTGTTTCTAACATACGTTTGCAAAGTTTACATAAACTTTTCAAACAGGGTCAGTAAACACTGATTTAACGATGTATTTGTTTCTACTTTTGTAGCGTTTAGAAAGCAACAACAAACGCCACACAACGTTTACAAAATTTTGGTTAGAAAGAAATGCACTCTAAGTATACAAAACACAACATAGAAAACAAAAGACTGAACAACACTCATTACACTTCTATCAAACTTGCAGTAAAACTCTTGTATTATAAAGCTTCCTATTTGTATGACTTCCTTTCGATTTACCTTCGCAGCTGCTCATGACTGCTGCACCTCAGTGACATCATAGCCTTTTCACTACAGAATAAATAATTTTATAGTTTTTTTTTGAGAAATTTTGTTTTCAAATGGGTAAACTGCATACATAAACACAATGTACTGAAAAGTTACAAGATTTTGCTGTAACAATCAAAAATACAAAATGTAATGTTATTAATGAAATTGCATATTTGGGGTTTATCTATGTCAAATGTGTCTATTGGATTCCTTTTTATGGAAAAACTTAACCTTTAATGTCAAATTGGAAGCGTCTGCATTAACATTTTTGCTGTAAAAAAGAATTTAATATCATATATAATTATAAACCTGTTGATACTAATTGTAATGCTTTTTTGTTATTTAATGTTAATCGGGGTTATATCTGGTCTATATACCAGCTTTGATAAGTGTTTGGTATTACTATAAATTTTCACTTCGTACTATGAACATCAAAATTATTTATTTTGTAAAAATATTTTCTTTCTCTATTTGAACTGTACACGTATACCTAACAACAAAATTATTTTCATTTACCTGTGTTTAAAGTAATTGCAAATGGCTGATATTTTTGTTCGAGCATATTGTTTTTCTTAAATTAGTTAACATTTCATAGCAGTATAACGTGTTACTTTTATTATTCTTCCCTTAGTTTATTTATTTTGTATTTACATTGTATCATAGATCAAATTTATTTGTTCAGTGTATGTTCACTGGTGTTAATATGTCTTTTGATTGAGTTAAGACATTTCAGTTGATATTTTATAGTGTGGGTTTCTATGTTGTGATGTTACACTATTGTTTCAGAAAAAGGTGAAGGTTTGATACCATTAAAACGTTTAAACCCGCTGCAATTGTTTAAATCTGTGCGTATTGCTATGTGTTTCTTTATTCTACATTGGCTAGAGGTATAGGGGGAGGTTTGAAATCTCACAAAACATGTTTAACCCCGCCGCATTTTTGCGCCTGTCCCAAGTCAGGAGCCTCTGGCCTTTGTTAGTCTTGTATCATTTTTAATTTTAGTTTCTTGTGTATAATTTGGAGTTTAGTATGACGTTCATTATCACTGAACTAGTATACATATTTGTTTTTGGGGCCAGCTGAAGGACGCCTCCGGTTGCGGGACTTTCTCGCTGCATTGAAGACCCATTGGTGGCCTTCGGCTGTTGTCTGCTCTATGGTCGGGTTGTTGTCTCTTTGACACATTCCCCATTTCCATTCTCAATTTTATTTGCACCTGTCCTAAGTCAGGAATCTGATGTTCAGTAGTTGTCGTTTGTTGATGTGGTTCATAAGTGTTTCTCGTTTCTCGTTTTTATATAGATTAGACCGTTGGTTTTCCCGTTTGAATGGTTTTACACTTGTAATTTTTAGGGCCCTTTATAGCTTGCTGTTCGGTGTGAGCCAAGGCTCCGTGTTGAAGACCGTACTTTGACCTATAATGGTTTAATTTTATAAATTTTGACTTGGATGAAGAGTTGTCTCATTGGCACTCATACCACATCTTCTTATATCTATAAAATCTATATCAAGGATTCACTTTCTTGCGATAACAGTTAGGACTGGAATTATTCTATTAACGTAGGTAAAGATTTGTGATTTGCATGTAGGAATTTGTTATTTGAAAAGGTTACAGTGATTCTTCTTATGAAAGGAAGCAAATTTTCATTGTTAGTTATATTAAATTCTAAACATAAGTATCAGATGAGGAATTTATATTTATGTTAAAAACGTTTCATCAATAGAAATGATAACTTCTTTAGTTTTTTAAAGTTCATTTATTTATCAAATGATATTGTTAAGCAATATGAATGTTCACTTCCATGAGCGGCATCATGAACAAATGAATGTCACAAACCTAAGTCAAGAGGATACAACTTTGATGGCTTGTTCCTTGTTCGGAAAATGCAGAACATATTGAAGTTATCTTTTGGTTTTATCAGCTCTTCAGCGTTTGTATTAGGTTTTGGATTTTCATCTAGTTTGTCCTCGAGCAACACGGCAGCAATATTAATGTTCAAAATGCGCATCTGGTGCAATAATACAATTGGTGCCTTTATATATTCACACGGGTCAGAATTTCTATAGTTTACCTCGGAGATTCCAAAATTCTCTGTAGAATTATTAACTTTGTGCTAGCATATATTCAATGCAAGAAAAAACGAATTTTATCTAAATGGTATGAAGCCTGATGATTTTACGATTGGAATATTTGATCAGTTAAACACAACTATATGAAATTTGAACGACAGCAAAAGTGTTGGTACTTACATTAAAAATTGCGTAGATTGTATAAAGATTCATAAATGTTTAAACACAATTCATTAATACATTTCAATTGTATCACAAACATTTTCATTTAACGTAAAACTTACTTTAACTACTGTTGACAGTGGTGCATTTTTATCGGCAGTCAGCAAAACTTTTCATGTATACCATTACAATATACAGAATGCACAATATTAGTATGTTTCTATTTTTAGATAATGTTTTTTCCAGCTCCAACTTCCCAGGCCAATTGCCCCCAGGTATAACAATTTCCGAATACAAATTCCCTAGAATCTTGAATTTGACTCTGCATGCAATTACAATTTACACCATGATGCCATGAAATGTAATTGGATATCCTGCACGTATTATGCGTTATCATAAAATGTCAAATTGCTGAAAGATTCCTTTGATTATAAAAATCTATCAATTAGCATTCACCATGATATCATGGTGTAAATAAGATCAACCCAAACTGAATCGGACTAACGCTCTCATGGATGTATATAAACTCATCATAGATATTAAGTATATTATAATTGGACTAGTAAATACCTTGCTAGGAAAACAGGCTCAAATATTAGCTGCTATCCTAAATGATTTGCTTGAAACTATCGGTTTATATATATTTCAACACTCATTATGTTTCTTTCAAACTTGCAGTTGAACTCTAAGAACTCTTGAATTATTAACTTTGTGCTTATCTTATTGCATGCCGGGAAATGTGCATACGCCATCATTCTTCCTAATACAGTTAGGATAAGTTCTAAACTCTCTTCAAAATTGTCAGAATAATTTCTCATTGAATTTTTATTAATTCTCAGCAGGTAGAACTATACTTCCTCAAATATTTGAAATAAAATGTAGATACATTTTGACTGACCACTTTATGATTGTAAAAGTTGTTTAGGACCAATAAATTACCTTCATAATTCATAACATGTTTTTATTTCAGGATACGTATATACAAGGAGAGTCAGTGAGTACCTATCATACATTTTGCATATTCATATTGTTAAATAAATACCGAGTATATTGAGTTTAGAAGTCAGCATTCTGAACTTTTTAAAAGTACAGTACGCTAGAACAAAAAGCCCAAAAATACAGCGAAAGGAGACCTTTAACACAAAATCAAATTAAAAAACAACACTAAATTAAAATCTGAAATATTTTTCAATAATACAAGAAAAGAAAAGAAAACACAGAACCCTGCTCAGGCAAAGAAAAATACCCAAACACATATAAAAAAACATAACAATACACACTTAAAAAACCCAAACAACATAAATACAATGAGGCGATTTGTTCTGTATCTTTTATCTATGTAGATAAATATTCACAGATATTAGTAATACAGTTGTGAAAAACTGATCTAAAACTAAACCTATCCATGTGTTATAAGATAAGATTTCAATTATTTTTTTATCATTTTCAGGAACAAGCATGCCAAACATCGCATACCCTACATACCCTACATATCCAACTGGGAGTAAGTATAAATCATTTACAGCGACTAACGTTTTTTTTAAGAAATATAGAAAAAAAACGGTTCACAATAACAAATTATCAAGACATGTCCACCTACACGTAAAATAGTTTTTTAATTTTTTTATCAAGCAACAACTATAGAAATAGAATTTTGATCTCGGGTGCCATTCAAAATACAAATGATGTTGCAATTATAATTGAAAATTTACGCACGTGCACGTGTTTTATTGGAATTAGAGCGTGGCTTTGTTAACAAATCAAATGAAGAGCGTCGTATTAGAATATGCGTTTAGTTTAATGATAAAGTATGAAATATTTGTTCATATTATTTCCCCTTATTTTTACGCTTTCACCTACATTGTATATGTCAAGCTTAACTTTTATTTTATAGACCATTTTAATCCACAAGACTATCTGAAATGAATATCTCAGAAAGAACAATCTTTTTCTTGAGGAAGTAAACTCAGTCGATAGCAAATATATCCGTTATACAACTATTTCCTATTGTTTTTTACCAGGCTATTACAGAAGAAGAACATTTAATAACAACCAAGGTCAGTTCCCGTGGATGTGGTATGCAATGTCTGAGATGTAAACCAAACATGCTACGGAACGATTACAATTTTTCTGTTTGACAAAATAACCTAACAATCATTTCTTTCTTTGCACTTTTAATTAATTTCTCCAGTATCTATATATATATATATATATCAGCAACTTAACTAACATGCTCTGTGTTATGATTAAGAATTGTCAGTATGATTTTTTTAATTAAAATTAATGTGTTTTTACTGTCTTCTTTCTTCAAAAGCAATGTCTCAGTTAACCATGCCATTATTTATCTTAATTCATACAGAATACATGAACGATAGAAAAATGTCAAAAATTCGGACAAATTCATAAACTTGCCATTTATTGAACTAGATTTCAAATACAGTATTTATTTATTTCCTTTTTTCAACGTGATAGCTATTTCTCTCGGTTCTCTTCACCAGGTTTTGCTGTGAGAACCTTCATCGTGTCCATGCTTCGACACTAGCTAGTTAATATATAGTCAATGGGCCATTTGGAATATATTCGTGAAACTGAAATCCCCAGGGTTGTTCTAATGTTAATAAACTAGTCATAATTTAACTCGGAAAGCATCAGTATTATATACGATGATGCAATTTTCCCCGCGCACACCTTACTGTATGTGCACACTCAGTAGCTGTGAAGTAATTGGAGAAATTCACACAGGTTGGCTTTAATTGCTGGACATTGTGTACTAGCTGAGGTAAGACAAGTGATTGTGATGTCAATGAGACAACAAATCCAACAACACACACATAAAAACAAACAGCAAAAGATATTCAATCGTAGACGTGAATCTATTCAATATTTCAAGTGCTAAATCGCCTAGGGTCTAAAAATTAAATTAAACAGAGACTGTAAATGAGCTGCCATAATAAAAAATCCCCCAAAATGACAAACAATCACTAAGATGTGACAAAAGGTATCCACAGGTTCCTTTATTGGCACAAGAACTTAACAAGTGGCAGGATATAACTAGATGTTTTTAGATCTCAACCGTCTTCCTTGTATCTCGATCAAAAGGCTAATAAAAGGCTCATAAAAGAACATACATAAAACAGTCATTGTTTTTTCACATTTTGTCATACCGGGGCCTTTCATATATTTATATACTGTATGAGTTTAAGCATACATGTCTAGGGTATCTGTAGTACGATGCATACTAGAGGTCATGGCTACCTCCACCGTTGTACCATGGTCCACTTCTGTACTGTTGTTCTACTTATGAACGAGTATCAGCACAAAACCTAAAGACAGGTCTGTGAATTTAAGGTCAAGGGTCAATTATCAAATGTCATATTTTTATGTAAAAGGAAACTTTAACACCAAAATACTGTTGTCCTTACTATAAATAGTAAGGAAGGAATTGGCCAATAAATCAGACATGTGCTCACTGTACCTCATAATTAAGGATAAGGGCAGGTGATATGTGACCGACTGACAGGTACAGGATACACACGACCACTTTAGCAAATTTTGTGTAAAAAATCTTAATACAGCCGTTTAACTATAAAACTAGATGTAGAAATTAACGCCGCCATCGAAAACTCATACCAACGTCTCGCCTCCCTTTCATCCAGTTGAGACAAAATAGAAAGCCCTGATTTGTCGTCTGTTATTTTTATGTATCCCAAAACATTCTTTTCTACATACACTGCAGTGTTGGTAATCTCACATATTCTACTTTCTAGACTTCACGTATTGGTTTTTTTAAGAACATACTTCACTGATTTTGGTCTTCGTGATCTTGTTTATATTATCCGATTAGAAGGGTAAATGCTAGGCGGTTTCTAAATGTTGCCGTAATACAAAATGGCTATATAGTAGTGCCTTTATGAATAATTTCACCAATTCTGATACACAATACAATACAATACCAATATTTTGTTCATATGTTTTATCATCATTTAAAAACTCCATGCTGGAAAATGTATGATTAAACAATTTCTAAACAATTGTCTTCTGAATAACAATCAGTGAAAATAAAAAAAAACAAAACAAAACAAAAAAAAAAACAAAAAAAAGAATTGACTTATAACATACTGAAACGTATATCTGTTACAGTGAATTTGTATAATCAGGGATTATGTAGAATCCCTGAATTTTCAGGGATTATGTAGAATCACTAAAATCACTAGTGATTATATAGATTCCCCGAAAATGACTAGTGATTTTATATAATCACTGATAATTTTAATTATTATTCTACAAATTCCCTAATATGATTTCAAGGATTATCAATAATTAAAAGCTCCAAAGATGATGAAACAAATTAACATAGACAAATTATCATTTTCTTTTCTTATTCCTTGAAAGTTCAAGTAAACAGTTTTCATTCCTGATCTACTATGTGAATCTTAAGTGATGAGTTTTTCCCTTTACATTTTATTCAAGTGTTGAACCTCATTATGTCACTAACAAATAAGCTCGGCACAGGCACAGATGTTGCTTGGGTTGAAGAAAACGTATGCTCAAAAGTTAATGCAAATTGCAGAGGAAAAACAAAATGCAACATATGCATATCTCATACCATGGAAGTAATATTTAACTGGCGTTGTTGTTATTCCTTTCAATATTACTTCCATGATCATACCAATTCCACTAGTGGTTCCAGGAAAGGGAGATCCCAAAAAACATAAAGGTCATTATTCACGAAAAGACTGTAGAAGGATATCTCCTTGCCATATAGCATGGAATCCTTCTCGGATCTTTAATACAAGAAATCAGTTTTAGGTTGCTGATTTCCCTTCATTGGTACCTTCAGATGTTTGTGCTGAAAACTCTATTTCTCTGAGACGTGCCATAAAATCTGATTCAATATGGAGGACAAGGTTGTTTTTAAATGTTGATATTGTGGTAAAAACAGATGTGAATTTGATAGATATGCCTGTAGAAAAGCAGGGCACATGTGTAATAGTCGATGCCATCCAAATTTAGTTTGAAAATAAAATGTTTATTTTTAAAATATTGTGCATAACATTTGACTTCATTCATACAATGGACGAACATTTATCAAAACGATTGTACGCATAAAAATAGTTTTAATGACAATTTCATTTTATTTCATATTCTCAACCTAAAAACAATTGCTAAAACAATCAGATAAAAAGAATAATCATTATGCCATTTAATATTTTCACACTGACTTCATCAACCCGCCCTTGTGGGCTTGCTTGATATTATTAATACTGATAAAGTCAGTGTCAAAAAGGGCTCGCTTGATATTATTACTGATAAAGTCAGTATTAAAAAAAACCAAAAAAAAACAATTATTCTATATATATTTTGCTTATCATTTAATTATATTGTGCTTATCATCTAATTATATTGTGTATAACATTTCAGTATTTTTGTGTCTATCATATTAATATATTATGCCTAACGTTTTAACATATTAAGGTTATTATTTTGATATATTACGGTTAACTTTTAATATATTTCAATATGTTATATATTTTAATATCATTTCAGTTATTCTGTATAATCCCTGACGTTTTTTCTAGTGATTATACATAATCCCTGAAAATTTTAGTGATTATATATAATCCCTAAACTAACCAGTGATTATACATAATCCCTGAAAATTTTAGGGTTTCTACATAATCCCTGATTATACAAATTCACTGTAACATATCCAAATTAACTATCAAGACAAGATATCCAGTAGCCAACAATATAAATTGCAATTATGGTTTTACATTTTCAGGTAGCTCTTTGGCAGCAAAAGATGCCATTGGTAATTTCCCAGAACAATGTAGTTAGTTCAATGCATTATGTTTCCCGTCTATTATTACTTTAGGTCATATTCAATAGATATAGGAAGATGTGGTATGAGTGCCAATGAGACAACTCTCCATCCAAGTAACAATTTATAAAAGTAAACCATTATAGGTCAAGGTACGGCCTTCAACACGGAGCATTTGCTCACACCGAACAGCAAGCTATAAAGGGCCCCAATAATTACTAGTGTAAAACCATCCAAACGGGAAAACCAACGGTCTCTAATCTATATAAAAACGAGAAACGAGAAACACGTATGAACTACATAAACAGACGACAACTACTGTACATCAGATTCCAGTCCATTATATACAGTAACAATTTATGAATGTATTTCAATACTTATTAGGTTTTATGAAGAATCCCAAAAAGTGCCACATTCAATTACATGTAATTAAACCATTGTTGTTACGTCATCTATTGAAGAAGCCCTGGATTATTTTTCAAGAATTGAAGTTCTGTTGTGACTAATCTGTAATGTAACACTACTCTCCACGGTTCACTGAATTAAAGAATTAAAAAGATGAGTGAGTAGATTACATTTCATGCGAAGAAGTGACTCATGTTTACTAATTAACAAATGTTGTTGACAATACAGAACACAGAGGAATTGATAACAAATGCACTCAAAAACTATAATTGCTAAAATTTTCAACTGTGTTGGGTAACCTTAAAATTTGTTTGCTTGTCGCTCGTTGATTATCGTTTCCGAATCCCCTCTTCTTATGAATTCTCTACTAAGTAACCCATTCTTAAAAATAAATTATAAGTTAAAGCTTTTTGAGATTTTAAAGTTTCTAGATAATATTTCGAGAACTATTAAAATGCAACACTTACTTCTATTTTCATTGACTAAAATTCTTATATTACAATCTAAAAAATGCACAATAATAGCATAACGTACATTTATATATACTTTTTATTTTCGATACTGTCTGTTCCAGTTCCAGCTTTCCAGGCCAAATGCCACCAGAATTTTGAATCTGACTTGCAATTATAAATAACGCCAGAATGCCCGTGTGTATTATTTATTATAAAATAATTTCAAATTTCTAAAAGATTCCCTAAATTATTGAAATATATCAAGTTGCATTTACCATAATATATTTGGGTAAATAGGATTTAACTCAAAAAGAATCGGGCTAGCGCTCTCATGGGGGTAAGAAGTAAGAACCTAGCTTTTTCACTATAAAATTAGTATTCTTATATTTTTGTTAGACAAATTTTATTTTCAAATTTGTAAACTGCAAGTATAAATACATTTTACTGAAAAAGGATTTTGCTTATACAAGCGATACTGTTCTAATATTTTGGCATTGCACAAGGTCGTGCATTTCTAAGACTGTTTATGACGTCTTTTCAGTAAATTCGTGGTGTATACTGACTGATACTTT